CACTATCTAATCATGCAGTCAGTTTAGACCGTGTCCTGAACTTGGATCAGCACGACTGCTATTTGTGGGGAGTGTGTTGGTGCCGAGCTGTTCTGTTACGACCCCTCTGGAAAGTGCTTCCAGACAGTGCCTGGTACCAGTTAATGTTTTCTACCATTAATCCTGTTCATGCCAGATTTTGTTAGCAGAGCCTGCTTCTGCTCACAGCTTCACTTTGCTTTTGATTTGCAAAGTCTTGACCATTGAGCCTTGGCATTAGGCCTTGCAAAATGCCTGTGATAACACATAGTTTGATTTCAGGTCCTCATCTTAGTATAGTAGGCTGCAGCTCACTTTGTCAGATGCACAAAAGCTTATGCCCCCAATATATTTGTTAGTTTTTAAGGTGCAACAGGAGTCTTGGTTGTTTTATTGAAACAGATTAACACAACTACATGTCTGACACATGGTATTTCTGTGGCTCTCAATGCTACTGTGATACAAGTTAACTTACAGCAATGAGAAATTTCAATGATAAACATGCCAACCTTGTTTCCAAGGACACTTTGATATTTTCTGTTGTGTAAATACACAATGAGGTTGCATTGCCTGGCTCTAGGTATTTGCATCAGATACATGCCCTAGCAGTAATAATTACAGGATGCACAAGCAGCTGTGCTCTTCAAACCAAAGGGGTGATGTCACACTGCATCAATTGTATATGGTAGTTAGGTTATCGAAAAAGAATACAAGTTAGAGGAGAACACATCTTCACACTTCAGAAACACTAATTATTCATGGTATCAAGTTTAAAACTGAGCTGTCAGATAATTAGGCAGCTCTGAAACAGGTGACTAAACTTTCTGCAAACTTCACACTCAAAAAGACATCAGGTGTCTGCTCATTCTCTGCATAGTGAGATGTGTCAATGGCATACAGTTGTCAGTGTGGATATTATTAGACTCAGACTGACATTTCAGAGGCTTCCTAAGTGATCCATTTTTCTTCTGATCTAAAGCTGCGGAAATTGGGTTAAAAAAAGAGCAACATATCAACCTGAACCTCATTTTAAGTGGCAAAGGCAGCATCTGTGCACTTTTGCCTAACGTAGTGATTTCTCATGCATTATTTTCACTCTGATGTCCTGTGCAGTCAAGTCAAGGCTAAGAGTGCACCTCTCTTCTGTGTCTAATACTTTGGTGAAGTATGAGTGAAAAACAGGGTTGAGTGTATAGTAAACAAAAACATGAATATTAATTCAAATTTGAAAATTAATTTCATTTTGATCGTGTGTGATGCCTTTCATGGTTATGCTCTGAGAAAAGCTGAGCTCTGTTAGCATGAATACAAATAAAAGTGAATTCCAAGCTCAAATCATTCAAGGACATCCAAACAAGGAATACCTCAGCATTGTTTTGAAAACCATGTAAATCTATGTAAACAAGCCATCACATTTGCTGAACACGTCAGCTACTGAAGATGCCCAGTTAATTGTTCATGAGCCATTCATAAAATAAATAATATTCTGTGAGGAAAATAATAAATATTTTAAACAAAATAATTTGATATTTCTGTGAACGTCTCAGAAATATTTCCCCAATACCAAAACATCAGAACTTGCAAGGGTAAATTATTCATTACTTAAAAAAAAATTCATTCTAATAAACAAGTCTGTGAAATACCACATATGACTAATACAATACCATCTTGTAATATTATCAATACCTTCAGAGAAATTGTTTGAATAAACTCATTTTCTTTCCATTGTTAAAAATTAGGATCTTTAGTTGTCCTGTGAAATGGAATTGTGTGTGTCTTTCAACCCTATCAAGAGGTGAATGTGACATTGTTATTGACAGGCTTTGCAAATCCTCCCAATGTCAAACTTATGAATTTTGTTTAATATTATGAACTCTCTTTGGGTATGTCTACACTGCAAAGTTAATATGAAATAACAGCCATTATTTCAAATTAACTTTAATAGCGTCTATACATACAAGCCGCTATTTCAAAATTAATTCGCAATAGCAGAGCTCTTAATTTGAATTTGGTAAACCTCATTCTACGAGGAGTAACGCCAAATTCAAAATAGTTATTTCAAATTAAGTGCTGTTTAGACACTTAATTCGAAATAGTGGGCCTCCAGGCCTTCCCAGGGAGCCCTGGTGGCCACTTTGGGCACAACCAGGAAAACTTACTCTCCTCTTCCCCAGCCCCAGAGCCATTAAAGGGGTAGACCCCAGCCACAGTGCCTGTGCCAGCTCTAAGCCTGCCAGCCCAGAGCCAGCAGTGGCCACCAGGGCCCCTGACCCAGTGGCCCCAAAACATGAGCCAGCAAGCCAGTGGCAGCCAGCCCTCCACCGCTCCCCAGGAGCAGTCTGCCAGCTCCCAGGAGCCTGACAGGGTCTGGATAAGGCAGGCGCCTTCCTAGTCCAGCATGGAGATCATGGACCTTATTCAGGTTTGGGGGGGATGCCCCAACATCCATGATCTCTGCACTAGATGGAGGAATGTGTCTGTCTATGGCAGGATAGCTGCCAGCCTGGCCACCAAAGGCCACATGCGAACCCAGGAGAAAGACTGCATGAAAATCAAGTTAGTCCAGCAAGACCCCCAAACCTGGGCCCTGCGCTTCCCCTCCCCCTTCTTCCCCTTGCTTCCCCCTTCCCGCTCCCTCCTTCCAGGTTTCCCTTTCCCCTCTCCCACCTCCTTTTCCCAGACTCCCTAAAGGTTCATTCCTTCCCCTCAGTTTTGTTCAATAAACCCAGTTTCTATTTTTGAACATACGTGTCTTTTATTTGACATCAGGAAGGGGGGCTAGGAAGGGGTAAGTGGAAGGATATGAGGGAGGAATGGGGCACAAGCCCCCGGTGGGGAGGACCGGGGTGGCTCCTCGGGCTCCTCAGGGTGGACGCTCTCCTGCAGGGCCTCCTGGATCCTGACAGCCCCCCGATGGACCTCCCGGATGACAGCCTGCAGCAAGTGCAGCCGGGCTGATGTCAACGACCCTACAAGACGCACCAGCGTGCCCAGGGGCAACTCTGGCTCCATGTGGCCGAGTGATGTGGTGTCCCGAGTGCAGGCACTCAGGGCACTCCAAGACAGGACTGCTTTGCTGTCCCTCATCGACGTAGACAAGCAAGCGGGGAACCCTGATAACTGTCTGTCCGGGGTGAGAGTAGGGTTCCTTTAAGAACAGTGCTCAGTTAGCCTCAGGCAGCAACCCCACACACTAATTCCTAACCTGATGTCCTGCCGGCACTGGTTCAGGCCAGCCTTAACCTCGGTTCAGGGTCCACTCAGTGTGGACGCGCTATTTTGAAATGGGTTTTGTGTATAGATGTGTTCATTCGAATTAGCTTAATTCGAATTAATTATTTCGAATTAAGTTAACTCAAATTAATGCTGTAGTGTAGACATACCTTGTGTGTTAATGTCCTCTGTCTTTTGCTGTATGCTTTCATCATACCTTTTATGCTAAGAAGAGGCAGAATAGCATTTTGTTGCCTACCCCTAAAAGGGCTGGTCTTTAAAGACCAGCAACGATTTAATAACCTGGCCCTGCAACAACTGGATTGCTACAACCTAAGTAAAACCAGTTTTCTCCAGTTTATCTGAAGAGAGTGGAAAATAGATTTTACAAAAAAGAGAGAAAGAAAATAGAAACCAGGTGTTGGGTTGGCTTTTAAAAACATAGAGGCACACTTCTGAGCTAGAGGGAACAGTCTGTCAGACTGACGGAAGCTGAAGGGAATTTGCTTCAGGAATCAGGGAATATTATCCTTTATCAAGGGGAGAAGACCAAGTCCACGGAGTGAGCACCAGCGATTCCTGAAAGAGATGGCTAAAAACCCAGGCAGCTTTCAGATTAGTGAGGACACCAGAGGGAGAGAAGGTTTTGTTGGTTTTGCCTTGATCTGTCAATCTCTGTGCTTTCTGCATATTTGTATAAGAAGTTAACTTTGCACAGCCTCTAAGTGCCTGGCTTCAACTGGCATGTGCTACTGAATGGGTTAATGGTAAACAAGAATACTATTTTGAAATGGGTTTTGTGTGTAGATGTGTTCATTCAAATTAGCTTAATTCGAATTAATTATTTCGAATTAAGTTAACTCAAATTAATGCTGTAGTGTAGACATACCCTGTGTGTTAATGTAGAGCTTGGGGGAGGGTGTTTTTAATCTGTTGAGAAACTTGCAGGAAGGGGGTTCAGTACTGGTTTTGGGGACCTGAGCTGTTGGGTATCACTTCAGAGAAGGGGTGTCATCAAGGAGTCTGTATGGCCAGAATGAGACTCAAGGCCAGAGACAGTATCTGGAGCCTGCCTAGACCCAAGGAAGAAGAAAAGTACATGAATCCAGTGTTTGTCCAACCAGGGAGAGGTTGTCATAGCGTGTGACAGTTACAAAAGAGTTTCTTGTTCTAATCAAACACTCGCTGTAAGCTGGCTCTGAGTACACCTTGACATGACAACTTTGCCTACCTACTTCCCGATGTCATCCAGTGCCACTTGTAGAATTAAGCAATATGAGACAACAAGAATGCCATTCTGGTTGATTACCACATACCACAGTTGCTCTCACAGGCACTAAACCAAGGACCTTTAATTTCTGAAGAATGGCAGTGATGCTGCCCCAGAGGGCTCTGCTGCTATTAAAGAATGCAAAGCTGGGAAAAGTATGGAAGGGGGGAAAGTGAAAAGCAGGACAGTTCTCAAGGAGAAAAGGCAGCAGCAGCAACAGCCAACCAGAAAGTGCCACTGCAGTATAGCCTGCCACATCCATTGCAAACTAACAATGATGCAAACCAGCTACAAAAGCCATAGAACATTTCAACACAAAAGGGTCACAAATATTTGCTTTGATCTTTGTTATCCTTGTCTTTAAAATATAACAGTGAGCAAGCACAACAGTATTTTCCCACCCTAATTTAGTATTAAACTTGAATCAGTGGCTTTAAAATTAGCCCACTTGTATCTTATTAAGATTTATGGACAAATATGCCTAAAGAACATCACTTACTGGACTCTGGGTCTGAATTGCCATCTCCTTCTGTCCGACTGTTGGGGGAAGCCTGTTCATAATACTCCTCCTGGGGGAAACCAAGGGGCAGCGGATGCGATGTGCTAGCACTGCTGCTGGGTTCATGGTCTCCAAGCCCACTGTCACTGCAGCTTTCCTGGGAACCGTCTGGTAGGTGAAACGTGACACGGCGTTGCGACTGCAAGGAAAGAAGGAAAATTATATGGTTTCAACTACAAACGGAGTAATTGCTTAATGCATCCAATATAGGAAATGTATTATTTCAGCTATCTGGCGAGGACACATTAACATTATCTACAGTTGTGCACAATTTCAGGCTTTCATGAACATGCAGCTCTGCTTTCAAACCTGTTTCGCCTGACAGCAGAGCTTTTCCTGTTTTTTAAAACTGTAAACCTTGATGCAAAAATGAAAGTGGCCTCATGCTAAAGAGATTCTGTCAACCTTCGCAGGCCTTTGAAGCCTTCTGTAAATTGACTTGGAGATTTCAATCACCATTTGAGGCTGAATTTATTTCTCTTCTTATTTCTCCATTTTTCAAGATATATTCTTTTCATTATAAGCTGCTCCTCTACTTTAAGGCCAGAGAATGTGAAACATTTCTAACTGATGTGCTTGGTTCTTTCAGAACCACAGTAATAACATATCATCAGTAAATCTTACAATAAAAAAAAGTCCTTTAAAAAACTGTATCTAAACAAATGAACTAAAAGTAGTCCCTAGCCCTTCCCCTCCACAAACTGTAGGGCCCTACACTTTTGTTTTGATTCCATGCACAATGCAAAGAGCTGTGGGGCCAATTTTTTAAAGGGATTTAGATGCCTAATAAAATTCTCAGTAAACATCTAGGCACCTAATCCTACCCACATCTTTTGAAAATCCCACTTCAGACCTATTAAAAATCTGGCCATTTATCTTCATACTAAGGTTGAAATTTGGGAGGAGAAGCAAAACAGTCACAGCAAGGTGACCAGTTTGAAGCGAAGAATTGGGTGCACCAAAAGTCTGATGTGAGAGGATAAAATTTTCTAGAGCACCTAAGGAGCCTGCCTGAACAACATCATCTATGATGTAACTAGCATCATCAGTTATTTCTACTCTGTTGTAATAGTTAGTATAGAAGCAGTTCTCCTACTTTGGCTTTGACACACTCCAAAGACGTATGAGCAGGGCTGACAAAAGAGCATGTGTGGGCCCCCCATGGACTCCCCTTAGGTACTGGGGGAGGGGATGGGGCTATGGTTATACTGGTGGGGCACTGGGGCTCCAGCTGCTCTGCAGGATCTGGGGACAAGGAGGTTGACCTGCAGCAAAGTGCACCCACTGTGGTTGGGGGTGCCCTCTGCTGGGTGTTGATGCTTTCTCCTGCCCAGCCTGGGCTAAGACCCCCACACTCCCCAGCATCTGTATTCAACTAATGGCAGGGATGGGGTAAGTACACGGGGCAGGGGAGATGTGTGTGCAGCACCCTCTTGCCAGCACTGCCCCAGGCCTGGCAGGTGCCACAGGAGAGCCCAGTTGTCCATGCAACAGCCAGACATCCCTGACCTGGGCCTGCCAAACTCCTCCCTCCAAGCTATGCCAAATGTTATGAGCTACTGGGTGGGAAGGTTGGACCAGACAACCCATGCTGCCTCTTGCTCACTGTCTTCCTCTGCCTGCTCAAGCAGACAACAGCTGTCTGCATCCCATCTAACAGCATGATGTCAAAGCACCAGGCCCCCGAAGGTGCAGGGGTCACCAGAGTCGTCTCCCCTATTCACCTTACCTAACCAGGTATGGGGGGGGAGGGAGTCTATGGTTGCGCTGAAACCAAGCAGTGGCAGCACTCCACCACTGCAAACCAAACTGTTATTTTTGCTAGAACTGGGTCCCAGGGGAACTCCAAGTATACATAAAATCCACAGGCCTCCTCTGTATATTCCTGTCAGTCTTGGCCATGGCACCAATGTCTGTTTCACAAGTTCACTATCCTTCATCTTGAGGAGATGGGGAGGCTGGAAGGGATAGCAGTAACATGGATTAATGACCCTATACTTTACTTCATGTGATTTCTCCTTCCCAGGCCTGTTTTCTAATAATGTGGGCCAGAATGTAATTGTCTGCTTTAGATTTCAAAGAGATGCAGTTCAAATAAAAGATCAGATGTACCGAATCTTTGTGTTGTAGACAGAAAATAAGACATTTTATGTTGGTAGAAAATGCAGACATTTTATCCTCATTTAAAACCTACTTGTGTTTCCCAGAATTCCTTTTGTCAGTATTTACACTGGCATAAAGTAAATCATCTGAAAAATATATAGTAATCTCAGGTGTTTCACAGAACCGTAAAATCAAATAACACTATATCTGGAAGGGACCTTGAGAGGTCATCAAGTTCAGACCCCTATCCTCATGGCAGGATCATCCCTGATAGATGTCTACCTAACCTGCTCTTAAATATTTCCTGCATTGCAGTTTTCGATGGTAACTCTTGATATATGTTAACTTTTAATGTCAGCCACTGAATATGCCGAGAATATCACACAGAATGTTCTGGACCACAAAGACATCACAGTATGGTTGTTACAACATCAGAACAGAAGGCCAACAGAAGCACTTATGTCCTCCAGCTAACATTGATAGTAAGGCTGTGACAAAATCAGCATGAAGAAAACTAGAGTAACATCGCCTCAGGTCTAGAGTGGAGACATCATCAGCCAAGAAAGGAAAATCTAATCTGCAAGAGCAAAATTATTCTGCTTTGTGGAATGAGACTTCTGTCCATGGATAAAATTAATGTATCTGCCCTGAGAGATAAAGCATCATATATGGTTTGCGGTGTAATGGTGTCCATTATTCCTTATCTCCTCAACAGGACTGTCCATCTCAAACTGATGTTAATTGGACTTGCATTTAGCACGATTATCTTTACATTTCTCCCCACTCTTCTTACCATCTAACCCTAGACTCTTCTTCCACCTTTTTCCTGCTCTTTCCCCGTCTCCTTTACGTGCCTCTACCCCTGAGCATACCACTGTGAAATCTAAAAATCCTTACATTTTAAAGCTACAAAGACATTATGAATAACTCCTACATCACTTTTCTTATGACATGCAGTGCTGTACCACACAATGGATGTTAACACCTGCATTTTAATAAACCAGTTATAACCTTGCATGTGGAATGTAATGAACCATGCTGAAACAAAGATCATAAAAAGTGGAATGTTCTTAGCAAATTTGTGCTTGTTACATCACTTTTATTCCCAAAGCATTATGTTTGTTCAACAATGTTCAAATTCCTTCCCCCCCCCCCAAAAAAGAAGCATAATAAGTATGCTTTGGGCCATTAACCTTACAGAAAAAAAGAAATCATGAGGATCTTATTCCACGGGTCTTGCACTAGAGACAGTGGAATCTTGCCCCAGTAGAAGAGACCTCAGGGCCCAGTCTTAAATTTCACAGATTACTGAGATCCACAAAAGGCCAAACGTATCGATACAGATACTCTCTGTGTTTGTATTGGTTTTGTACTCAGTGCATCCTTCCAAAAGCTTTCTGGGACTCAACCTGGCTGTAGCTGTCTCCAAAATAGCCTAAAAGGAGACACTGCAGAATGTTTTGTATGAATGGATGAAGAACAAAGTGCATTCTTGCCTCCAAACACAATACTCTTGCCCATAAGGGCCATTTTAAGGGCTATGTTTCTGGCAGTGTGGGAGGAAGTGGCTCAGAGCACAGCTGTTTCTCCCCTCCCCGCAGCTAGAGCCGCATCATCACAAGCACCAGAAAGTTCTGTCTCCTAATGCCCTTGCCTGGAGGCTCCACCGTAGAGCTCCTATTGGCCAGGAATCATGACCAATGGGATTTGTGGAGGGTGGTGCTCTTAGGGGACCACCCATTCACTTGGGGAGCACAGGGTTATGGGATCAAGTTCCACTCTGGGAGTGGCCAGACAGCCACACCAGTGGTGGAGCAGTGGAGACAAGACAGGCTTACCTCTGCCCAGATGAGTGCAGGGCAGATCAGGCTGCAAGGAGCAACCTGATTCCTCTCACCAACAGGATCTGTGTCAAGTAAGAGCCAGGTAGCCCCATACCTCGCCTCAGCCCTAAGTCTCCTCCTGCAGCCTAAGTCCCTAAGGGTATGTCTACACTACCCTGCTAGTTCGAACTAGCGGGGTAATGTAGGCATACCGCACTTGCAAATGAAGCCCGGGATTTGAATTTCCCGGGCTTCATTTGCATAAGCGGGGAGCCGCCATTTTTAAAACCCCGCTGGTTCGAACCCCGTGCAGCGCGGCTACACGGGGCACGAACTAGGTAGTTCGAACTAGGCTTCCTAGTTCGAACTACCGTTACTCCTCATTTCCTAGACCCCACATACCAACCCTGACTTTCCTTTTGCACTTTACTCCTGTCCAGACCCACAACCCCACCTCAACCTCCTGAGCCCATTCCTCCACTCCAACCCCCTTGGCAGTAGCCTGGAGCATTGTCCTGAACCCTAAACACTTCATCCTCCCTTCCACCCCACGGCCCACACCCCCAGTCGGAGTCCTCACCCCATCTTGCACCCACCCTCCTGCCTCAACCCACAGCCTCATCCTGCACACTGAATCCCTCATTTTGGCCCTGTGTCAGACCCTAGGGGACCCAACAAAATCTCATAGCCCCCAGAAGCTAATCCACTCCTGCTTCCCAACCTTACTCTTTCCAACACAAACCCACAAAGACCTACACAGTGCCTTCCCCAAGAAGATGGTTCCACAGAGATGACTCATGTCTACTGGCCCACATGACAGAGTGTTTAAAATATTCATGGCTTCTTGAAATCCAATCTATGCTACTTCTCACCATTGCTACAATTGGTGAAGCTGAATAATAGGAACAACTGTAAGTTTTCAGAAAAAAAATCTAACTGCCTTACATCCTGTAATAAGCCAAAATGTGTGCACAATTATGCATGTAATTTCCATTTATAAAGTGATAGTAACTGCAAAGAACAATTAGACATTCAATTGCATGTGTAAATATGTAAAAATAAGGCCTTTAAAGGATATTACTAAGAAAAAGAATAGTAACACTAATTAAGATATATTATAAAGGCTATGAGACATCATATTCCAGTGCATAAACTTTTCACCAGGTGCAAAACCAAAAGAAACTACCTCTAGGAATATTATTGTACAGATAGG